AAATGGCGAATTTTGGAACATTAACGGAACTTTGTACAGCACGCAAAGAAGAGTGCCCACAAATTTTATTGCATTAAGAAGTAGACTGGTCTTAGTACTTCTGCTTTATCATAGACTTGAGTCTGGGTCAGGTGCCACTTTTGCGAAATTACCGTTCAGCTCTAGTTATGCAAATTAATTTTCCCGATAAGCAAATTAAAGGTCATTTTAAAAAAATCATATCTCAGCTAAATTTCCACAGAATGCAACCATTAAACCTTGAAACTATTAACCAGAGTTAAAACTTTTGTGTGTAAAATAATCAGCTTATTCGGCTCCGTAAGGTAGGTTTTCAAGAGCCCTAAAGTTTCACCAAAATCGCACCACTTCCGACTGCAAACTGGCTATTTTTAGGTGACCTAGAAAATCTCTCTGTAAAATAGAGAAAAAATTGAGTCGGTCCAAATAAATGTGATATTTCTTCATGGGATAGGATAGTTATCTTCCACTGAAAAAATCAGGGCAATCCGAGATATACCAAAATTTGCCTTATCGGTTCTTACGCGGACAGCCTCTATATTCGTCATCCAATTCACTTACAGAATTTGGAAAAGGTGCTCAATGCTTTTTGTAATAAATTTGCCGAGTGTGATAAAACAACAACAATAACAACAACATAAGCTTTATTTGCATGACTAGAATTATGTAGTTACAGTATTGCAAAAGCTTTAACATGAAAAACAAACAAACAAACAAACAAATCATAACAATGATAATGCAATGCAATGATTACTATAGTCAATCAATTGTCATCAGCATGATTTGATAACAAATTATTACGTAAATCATTTCATAATGAAACAAATTTCAACAAATGTGAATTTACGGAAAAATTCTGTAAATTCATCAATTTAATTATTAGTTCTGTGTAAGATAGCTGATTAAAGTCGACAAAATGTTGTTGGATTTGATTGTAGAATTTCCCCCTTGGGATTGAGTATTTTGGACAATGAAAGAGAAAATAAAATTCGTCTTCAATTTTACCAGAGTTACACGATGTCTATTTTGCATAAAAATAAAAGTTGAAAAAATCTCAAATTTTTCAACAACAAAAAAAAATTCTAATTTTCTCTTTTTCATAAACAGTTGTTTTTATAGTCTTTAAAGGCTTCTTTTTTATCTAGAACGTAAGCGAACACTTTTTCTCGATCTATTTTTGATAAACTTAAAAGATGAAAAAACTTCAACTTTTTGACCAAAATCCTGGACTATCCCCTTTGCAAAAATGCCAATTTTGCCTTCTTTTTAAATACATGTTTATATTGTCTAGAAAGGCTTGTTTTCTAACGAGAACGTCACCAAATGCTTTTTCTCGGTGTATT